CTTTATATAAAAGTATATTATAATTAATGATAAAAACTAAATTCATAAATATAAACATGAAAGATACCAGGTAAAATATTACATAAAATAAATCCGGAGCATCAAAATCAAATATCAGTAACAACAGCAGAAAACGTCATAAAACGATAAATACTTCAGAAATAAGGTACATGTCACCATAATTAAAAACAGTTCAGGAAACAAAATATTACAATAAAACACTCTGAACTAAATGTACCAATCCTCCAAGTGCCTGATACAGAGTGTCTATCCGAATGTATCTGAAAATGGGTAAAACAATTTGAAAAGTGAGCTAGAGGCTCAGTGTGTCCCAACAGTGCAGAAATAAAAACATATCGTTATGATTTTCAAAACCAGTGCAGATCACAATCATTAAAACATCATAGGAGTTTTTAATTTAAAAACTTTGCATCGTCCTCCAACCGAACGCCATGTGCAGATCCCCAGAAATGCACAACCTAAGGGAGTACCTTGGGGCCTGCGAGCCTACCCAAGACAATTCTCGGGGCCACAAAGGCTTACCCAAGAAAATCTCAGGGCCGCAAAGCCTACCCAAGGCTCGACTCAGGTCCATAAGGAATTACCAATCGGTGCAGAACCTATCCGATGAATTACCAACAGCGATTGAACCTGCCAGAGTCTTCATACCAGAACCCAGAGTACCCCGTAGAAAACATTTTTCAGACGGTAACCAGTAGTAACAGTAATTCAGAGTTCAAATAGATTATCAGTTCAGTAATCCAGTGTTCAGAAATCAGAAATCGGGCAATCATGCTTTTCATTTCAGTAAATCCGGAATCAAATAAATCATTCTATATACAAATCAGATCAAACGTTATATTTCAAATCAGACAAAACAATCTTGTGCACATTAGATTTTAAACAGATATTTAAAACATTTATACTGCACATAAGGAACGCACCTCGATAACAGGATCAGTCCGAAAAAATCTATTGAGTACCAGCTTCACTAGGCTCTTCGACTGAACGGGAACATAAGTCATATCAGAACATGGTTATATTTGGAATAATATTCTAAACAGAATAACTAACAGGGTTTTAGAAGTATACGAGTATTCATGGCTTCTCGTGGACAAGCGGATCGGGAGGAACCGGGTCGAGTAGTGAAACAGTCTGGAGATCCCCGAGTACCTTTAACATACCTATAATTAGTCCTTCACCATTCTGTTCAATTAACTAAATTAAAATACTTAGATAAATATGATTTTTTTTCAGGTTTACGGGATAATTCGGAGGCTTTCGAGTCTAAATTTGTCCAAACAGAATTGCGGAATTGGAATCAGTATAACGAAAAACATAAAATATGACTTTTTGAAAATTCAAATTCTTGGTCAAAGTCAAAGTCAACGGGTTTAATTGACGATTTGGATGCCTTCGGGTTTGAATTTGGAGAAACAGACTTCGGAAACGGATTCGGGATGTCGAAAAATGTCAGAATAGGTATACTCGAACAAAATCAAAGGTCATTTAATGGCCGTTTAAAGTCGGTCAAAGTTATGGTCAAAGGTGCTCAAAAGTCCACAGTCAACTATTACGAAAATAACATTTTTTTATAATTACGAAAATATCACCTTTTCGAAATAATTACCAAAATATCACTTTTTCAAAATAATTACCAAAATATCACTTTTTCGAAATAATTACCAAAATATCACTTTTTCAAAATAATTACCAAAATATCACTTTTTCGAAATAATTAACAAAATATCACTTGTTTAACAATATTTACGAAACTAACACCTTCTTAACAATATTTACGAAAATACCACCATAACCGAAATTAATTACATATTAGTCACTCTTTTCAAACTATTTATCAACAATCCAAACCAACACCAACTATAACATGTTTTCAAGCTAAAACACTGAAATATTATTCAGATTAAACGATCTGACTTTACCTACGACGAACGGACGAAACAAGACGGTCGTTGAAATGGCCAGAATCGACAAAATTAAAACGACGATCGGGGTTTTGGGTGTCTATTTACCTTCTCTATTCGGCCTAACTATGACCGATTTCGGAGCGAGATTGGTCGGAATCGCTTCTCGGAGGTCAGGCGCACCTGATGGAGGTGGCGGTGATGTTCACCGCCGGCCGGAACAAGGAGGAGAAAGAGGGGCGGAAGCTGTTCTTTTAGAGGGGAAAACTGAGTCTAAAACACAAGGAATGGTTCTGCTATAACAGTTAATAATCACCCTAAATTTAAAAAATAACACCACCAACTATTATTTCAATAAAAAAAATAAAAACAAGACCTAGTGGTTAGGCCATTGTCTACCACTACCTGATTAAAGAATTCAAAACCCCATGACCACCCCTTATTTTAATCTTAATGCTATTAATATTTTTTTTTATTGTGGCAATTATGGGGTATGACAATTCTCCCCCTCTAAAAGAAATTTCATCCTCGAAATTCATCAGAATCTGATAGTAAATTGAGATTAGGTCTCTGATAGATCCTTTAGTGGAGAAAACTAATTTCGTCTTAGGGTCTTATGTTACGAAACTCAGGTATAGAAAGAGTGTTGTTAGAAATGTATGGCATGAATCAGAATTAACAATAAATATACATGCAGAAGTATTAAACTCAATTCGATCATCGGAACTTCGGGTAGTGTAAACAAGAGCAGGTTGTTGAGACTCAAAAGCATCTGGTCCTCTACTCTGCGATCGGGCTCTATTGTCAACCCTAGAAACAAATCCGGAAGTCCTACCCTGACTATGACTCATATATGGAACCTGAACAGAGGTCTGAGAACGTATAGGAGTCTGAACAGGTGTCTGATCGACAGGAGCTAGATATGGACAATTTCTCAAGAAGTGCTTGCTAGATCCACAACGAAAACAAGTACCCATCTTCTTACGACACTCTCCTCTGTGTTGATTTCCACAGAACTCACAACTCAATTTCGGAGTGGAATATACAAAATCCTCTCGACTAGCTACATTATGTGGAGGAGATGCAGGCCTCGAATCAGACCGGCTCATTTGATGAGGAACAATACGAGATCTTTTATCAGGGCGTGAAAAAGGTGCAGACTGACCGGAAGGCTTTCTAGATCGTTCTAGACATACTCTATCATTGTCAGGTGCAGAAGCCTCGACTTCATCCGCGTCTTTTGCTCTCCCAACTACAACATCGAATACCTCGTCCTGATGAGTAACTACCTGACGTCGCAACTCGAATCGAAGTCCCTGAGCAAACTTTCGACATCTATCTCTCACGGTAGGTATTAAACTAAATCCATACTTCAACAATTTCAAAAACTCAATCTCGTACTCAGAAACAGTCATATCTCCCTGAACCAGGTCCTGAAACTATTGTCGTCTCTGAGTTAAATAACGCTCTCCCAAGAAACGGCTCCTAAAGCGCTCTCTAAAGAAATCCCAAGTCAAACGATCGGTCTGAACACTACTAACCACTGACTCCCACCAGGTGTGAGCATTCCCATCCAACATAGAAATTGCTCCTAAATAACGTCGATGCAGATCTAAACCTAACTGATCCATGCGTCGCTCAGTATCACTAAGCCATTCCTCAGCCTCAGTCGGATCTCCACCAGTAAGGCCACTAAACGTCCTGACTCTATTTGCAATAAGGGTTTGAGAGATAGGAACCTCGGGTACAACGCCAGTAGTTCTGACAGCTCCCTAAATCATCTGAAGAAATTGTCTACCAAAATTCTCATCTAATACAACTCTGGTAGACTCAAGCTCATAACCAGTAGCTTCTCTTATCGGAGAAGTCATGTCAATACCAGAGGCAGAAGGCAAATTCGTCGGGGTTGTAGGAGCAGGATTATCTATCGGAGGTTGGGGACCTACACGTATCTCATCTACCAGGTCTGTAAAACTAGCCATCTACCAGGTCTGTAAAACTAGCCACTCCGCTGCGACCATGGCTAGTTCGACGACCACGTCTAGTACTCATCTTGGTAGATCTCGAGTTTACTACAGAAGATAAAACCTAGGATTAGATAGGCACTTGGAGTCTCGAACACAATTAAAATCATAAAAACTTTGTGACATGACCTTACTGACTTGTGTTGTAAAACATTTCAAAACCGTATTTTGAGTTTGGACTCATTTACAGTCCGAGGTTTAAAAACCAAAAGCTCTGATACCACTAAATGTAACCCCCTAGACCCGGCCTATGCGTTTCGGCTAAGTCTAGCAGATTACATTAAAGATTCTGATAGACTTTTTTTTCCAAAAATATTATTCGATAATTTAAAATCATGTTACAAATGATCTTTATATAAAAGTATATTATAATTAATGATAAAAACTAAATTCATAAATATAAAACATGAAAGATACCAGGTAAAATATTACATAAAATAAATCCGGAGCATCAAAATCAAATATCAGTAACAACAGCAGAAAACGTCATAAAACGATAAATACTTCAGAAATAAGGTACATGTCACCATAATTAAAAATAGTTCAGGAAACAAAATATTACAATAAAACACTCTAAACTAAATGTACCAATCCTCCAAGTGCCTGATACAGAGTGTCTATCCGAATGTATCTGAAAATGGGTAAAACAATTTGAAAAGTGAGCTAGAGGCTCAGTGTGTCCCAACAGTGCAGAAATAAAAACATATAGTTATGATTTTCAAAACCAGTGCAGATCACAATCATTAAAACATCATAGGAGTTTTTAATTTAAAAACTCTACATCGTCCTCCAACCGAACGCCATGTGCAGATCCCCAGAAATGCACAACCTAAGGGAGTACCTTGGGGCCTGCGAGCCTACCCAAGACAATTCTCGGGGCCACAAAGGCTTACCCAAGAAAATCTCAGGGCCACAAAGCCTACCCAAGGCTCGACTCAGGTCCATAAGGAATTACCAATCGGTGTTGAACCTATCCAAGGAATTACCAACAGCGATTGAACCTGCCAAAGTCTTCATACCAGAACCCAGAGTACCCCGTAGAAAACATTTTTCAGACGGTAACCAGTAGTAACAGTAATTCAGAGTTCAAATAGATTATCAGTTCAGTAATCCAGTGTTCAGAAATCAAAAATCGAGCAATCATGCTTTTCATTTCAGTAAATCCGGAATCAAGTAAATCATTCTATATACAAATCAGATCAAACGTTATATTTCAAATCAGACAAAACAATCTTGTGCACATTAGATTTTAAACAGATATTTAAAACATTTATACTGCACATAAGGAATGCACCTCGATAACAGGATCAGTCCGGAAAAATCTATTGAGTACCAGCTTCACTAGGCTCTTCGACTGAACGGGAACATAAGTCATATCAGAACATGGTTATATTTGGAATAATATTCTAAACAGAATAACTAACAGGGTTTTAGAAGTATACGAGTATTCACGGCTTCTCGTGGACAAGCAGATCGGGAGGAATCGGGTCGAGTAGTGAAATAGTATGAAGATCCCCGAGTACCTTTAACATAACTATAATTAGTCATTCACCATTCTGTTCAATTAACTAAATTAAAATACTTAGATAAATATGATTTTTTTCAGGTTTACGGGCTAATTCGGAGGCTTTCGAGTCTAAATTTGACCAAACCGATTACGGAATTGGAATCAGTATAACAAAAAACATAAAATATGACTTTTTGAAAATTCGAATTCTTGGTCAAAGTCAAAGTCAACGGGTTTAACTGACGATTTGGAGGCCTTTGGGTTTGAATTTGGAGAAACGGACTTCGGAAACGGATTCGGGACGTCGAAAAATGTCAGAATAAGTATACTCGAACAAAATCAAAGGTCATTTAATAGCCGTTTAAAGTCGGTCAAAGTTATGGTCAAAGGTGCTCAAAAGTCCACAGTCAACTATTACGAAAATAATATTTTTTTATAATTACGAAAATATCAACTTTTCGAAATAATTACCAAAATATCAACCTTTTCCAAATAATTACCAAAATATCACTTTTTCAAAATAATTTCCAAAATATCACTTTTTGAAATAATTACCAAAATATCACTTTTTTTAAAATAATTACCAAAATATCACTTTTTTGAAATAATTAACAAAATATCACTTGTTTAACAATATTTACGAAACTAACACCTTCTTAACAATATTTACGAAAATACCACCATAACCGAAATTAATTACATATTAGTCACTCTTTCCAAACTATTTATCAACAATCCAAACCAACACCAACTATAACATGTTTTCAAGCTAAAACACTGAAATATTATTCAGATTAAACGATCTGACTTTACCTACGACGAACGGACGAAACAAGACGGTCGTTGAAATGGCCAGAATCGACAAAATTAAAACGACGATCGGGGTTTTGGGTGTCTATTTACCTTCTCTATTCGGCCTAACTATGACCGATTTTGGAGTGAGATTGGTCGGAATCGCTTCTCGGAGGTCAGGCGCACCTGATGGAGGTGGCGGTGCTGTTCACCGCCGGCTGGAACAAGGAGGAGAAGGAGGGGCGGAAGCTGTTCTTTTAGAGGGGAAAACTGAGTCTAAAACACAAGGAATGGTTCTGCTATAACAGTTAATAATCACCCTAAATTTAAAAAATAACACCACCAACTATTATTTCAATAAAAATAAATAAAAACAAGACCTAGTGGTTAGGCCATTGTCTACCACTACCTGATTAAAGAATTCAAAACCCCATGACCACCCCTTATTTTAATCTTAATGCTATTAATATATATATTTTTTTATTGTGGCAATTATGGGGTGTGACATATACCATGGGCATTTATCTTTATATCATTTCATATATACACTTTCATATCACATGTCATATAAGCTCATAGCTTCTTTCACATATACATGTAGTCACATAGTCCAGTTTCACATATGTTCATATATATATACATCATATAGCACATACTTCTTATATCATTACATACAAAAGCATGTTAACACATACAATCATACATACATACAATTCATGTATACATACATTTAATATTAATCACATAATTCATGTACTATACTATCGGAAATAGACTTATCACAAGTCAATTTCCATATAATTCAATGTAATAAGATGCACTCACCTTGGCCTCACTAAGTTCCCAACCACTTTTATGCTTTCCTCTCTATCGATCGAATCTTAACTTGATAATCGTTCTGGAACTTGTTCGTGCTCAATATCTACATAATCATACATTGATACATATCAGTATCTAATTGATATATTCTAATATATCATTTCTTAGACCAAAAGAAAGGTATAATTCTATTTTCCCTTGAAGTGCATCGATACATTCTACAGTGTATCGATGCATTCTTTAACATATGCATCGATACACAAATCACATTCGATGTTTTCATTTTAAGGGGGTGTATCGATGCACTCCTTATGCATCGATGCACAAATTGCATTCGATGTTTCCATTTTTAATGGGTGCATCGATGCACTTCCTATGCATCGATACACATTGAACAATTTCTGGAAATTTACCCTTGATGCATCGGTACATGTTGAATGTGTACCGATGCACACTAGCCCAAATTCATTTTTAAGCCCGAAAATCCACTCAAATCAACTCAAATGCTTCATTTTTCATCCCCTATCATGTTCTTAACTCGTATACACATGCTTAAACCAATTTATATCCATATAAATCATCTTTAACCTTAAAAATTATATCCCTCATATGTAACTCAAGAATTATACCAACTTTGCAACATGTTTTAATTCCAATTCTATGGCTTCTAACTTCTTAATTAGACCCTTGACAATTCAAATTTAACTTCCAATTTAACTTATCAACTTTCATTCAATATTTCCTTTAAAAACTTATAATCTTTAATCTCTCTTGACTCCTTTATCTTATGGTTTTAAGATAAATTAAGCTTTCCTTAAGCTTAATTATCATCTAATGATCAAAACTCAATCTTAAATTCGGCTAAATATCAACCAACAAGAGATCTTACCTTTGCTTATAGCTTCACGTGAAGAAGAATAAGAAAGGAGAAGAAGAGAACTATGGAGAAATATCTCATCTTCCACGTGGTTCCCTTATCTTATAAAGGAATAATAAAAATCTTAATTGTCAATTGACCATTTTACCTTTTAATTCATTCCATAATTACTAAATAACCTTCATCATATATTTCTAATAAATCATTGAACTATTCAATTAACCTACTTTAATCATCAATTTCTGAAATTTTTCAATCTAGTCACTAACCCGATATTGAGTATGTTACAGCAATGAACTTTTCTTGTGAGATTGCTAACTTTCCTATGAGTTCCTCCAATGTTGGTTTTTGTGTTTGCTGTTGAGGATGAGGTCTTGGTTGATAAGTTGGTCTTTGATTTGTCGCATAGCTGAAGTTTGGGTGGCCTCGCCATCCTGGATTATAAGTATTGTTGTATAGGTTGTATTATCTTGTTAGAGGACCTGGGAAGTTCCCTACGACATTGATTTCTGCATTTCCTCCTTCTTGTATCAAAGGGCAGCAATTCATCGGATAGTCTAGCTTTGTGCATATCTCACATGCTCTTGTTGCTCTGGATTTTCCTACAACAAGTGATTTAACTATTTCAGTTAATTTGTCTAACTTATTCTCAATGGAAAAGTACTTATCTCGTGAAACTGTCGGTTGGGTTCACTTGAAAACTATTGAGAGTTGGTTGTCATGGTTGAAATCAATTCTCTTGCTTTTGTTTGGGTCATGTTGACTAATGCTCCTCTACTGGCGGCATCTACCATTTTCATCTCCATTGGTAAAAGGACTTCATAAAAGTATTGAATTAACACTTTCTCACTTAATCCATATCATGGACAACGTGCACAAATCTTTTTAAATCGCTCTCAATAGTCATAAAGACTTTCTTCCCTCTTTTGCTAAATAGAAAGAATGCTCCTTTGTAACTCGCTTGCTTTAGCCGCTGGAAAGAATCTGTCAAGAAAAATTCGATTCATGTCAGCCCATGAATTAACTGAATTTGGAGGTAAATAAAATAACCAATCTTTAGCCAATTCGACTAAAGAGAAAGGGAAATCTCTCAATTTAATTTGATCCTCGGTAACTCCCTGTGGTTTCATGCTAGTGAAAACCATGTGGAATTCCAATAAGTGTTTGTACGGATCTTCAGTGGGAAAGCCGTGGAAAGTGGGAAAAAGATGAATGAGTCCTATCTTTAATTGAAACGGAGTCCCGCCACTAGGAAAATTAATGCATAATGTCGTCTGAGTGACAAGAGCTCTAGCTAGTTCTCGGATTGTTTGTTCTTCTTCTGCCATCGAAATGTTGTATGTGTCTGCTTCAGTCTCCGCATTTGATTCCACTTCTGAACTCTGCTCTTGTTCTTCTTATCTTTTTCTCTTTTCTCAAAGCGTTTGTGTATGGATTCTTCGTGCTCGTGCTTCAATCTCTGGATTTAGATCTACTAATTTACCTGGGTTTCTTCTGGTCATAAATCAAAAACTAGAAAAATAAACCAGTACATGTCGTTAGTCCCCGACAACGGCGCCAATTTGATAACCGTCGTTTCGTTATCAAAATAATTTTGGCTTCTTAATTAAATAGAAAGGAAAATGTAGTATAGAGAAGCAGGGTCGATCCACAGGGACTATGGTTTTTGTGATTTAGTAAAATTGTTTCTTGATTTTAGGAAAATATAGAATTCCAGGTAAAGTTGAAAATGTATAATAAAATAAATAATTATAATTTAAAAAAGGAAAAATAATAAAATAATAATATTAATAAATATAAAAAAGAGGATTTTAAATTATTTAAAGAAGTATAATAAAATAAAAATTAAATAAACAAATAAATAAATAAAATAACTAAATTGGGATAAATAAAACGTATTGTGGAAGCAGCCTCAGACTTTAGCTTTGCCTCTAATTCCTCAGATCATCGAAACAGGTTTTTACTTCAAGATTCACGTCAGCTTATAAGGACAATTCTTTGCTGCCAACTCGGATTATGTCATTTCAACAATAACTGATTATGATCTCAGTTTCCTCTTAGCAAACAATTTTGCTAAGTGTGTTCTCGGGAAGTCGAATATGCTTCAATAAGCAAATCCTTCTTAAAACATTAGCCATAACAATATCTGGACCAATGTCGAAATCGTTTTGATTTGAAAAGTAAGCTCAGAAAATAGAGAGAAAATCTGAAACGATTTAAGTATTTTACAATTCTCACGTTTAGAATTGAGCATTCGCTTTAGTATTCAGCTTGAAAGAAAATTAGCTAAGCATGACCAATGTCATACTTAGCATAATTGAAAATGAAATTCTAAAAGAAAATAGGAGAAGTTGGCGCAAAATAGAGAAAACTAGAGAGAAAATATAGATTTAATTCTCAGATGAGAGAGATATGTTTCTAGGCTTACCCTGAGAGGGTATTTATAGCCTTTAAATTCCTAAAAACAAGCTAAAACATCTTAAATCCTAATTAAAACACTTAAAACTATTTAAACTAAAATACCTAAAACAAAAATAATATTTAAAATAATATTATAAATCCTAATTAAAATACTAAAACCTATTTAAACTAAAATACCTAAAACAAAGATAAAATATAAAAATAATATCCTAAAACTTAATTAAAATACTAAAACCTATTTAAACTAAAATACCTAAAACAATGATAAAATAATGTTTAAAATATTATCCTAAAACTTGAGTTTAATCCAAATCTGAATTCCAGAAACGTGCCATCAATCCATGTGTGCTTCTAGAAACGCTAACTGGATCTTCTAAAAGGTGCTGACATCATCGCCTCGTCTGATGTTTCATGTCCGAATTCATGCCACTAATCCATCTTTGATTCCGAAAATAAAAAAACTGTAGAATTCTGTCCTTTTTGTGCAATTTCCAAAATCTGACGTCCTGTACATAAAATAAATCAAAACGAACAATTAAGACACAATAACCAATGATTAAGGAGTAATTTAAAAGTAAAATATTAACTAAATTAAGCACTTATCAGTGTGATTCAAAGAATGGGGGCTAAAATTTAGGGGGAGTGTTGAGAAGTATATATTATCCCACACCCAAATTAATTTGATGGAATTGCTTACATCAATTTAGTTAGGTGAAGATGTCATTGCTTACATCAATTTAGTTAGGTGAAAATTAGGTATTTGTCTCATGTTTAATTTCAGTGGTTTAAATTAGTTTGTGGTTATTTTAATGAGTGGTTTAGATTGTTTCTTGTAACCTATAAATACATTATTTGTATTTGAGTTTTATCATCCAACAATAAAAGCTTAATTATAAGCATTTGAAAGTTTTCTTAAGAGTTCTTCCCTTTTTACAATTTTGTGAGATTATTTAAAGAGAGTTATTCTTCTTCTTAATCAATTAGAGTTTTTTTTTTACTCTATTTTGATTTAATATCAAGAGTTTTGATGTCATCAAATGTAATTCCCTAAATCATTTCAAATGTTACATTGAATCTCGAAGGTCACATTAAACACCGAAACAATCCAAAATTCATTTCAGAAATTTTAGTCAATGTGAAAATAGAATTAAAAATAATTTATTCATATAGATAACTAATTATCACACTCATAAAAAGTGATGTTACAAACATTTATTAGTATCTAGAAATTAAATTTAAAGATTTGATGGGTTATGATAGCAACTTTTGATATAAAGGCTCCAATCATCCTTATGAATTCATAAGAACATTTCAGTAGACACTAGTGTAACATTATGTAATGGAATTCTCATAACGAGTTAAATCCAGTATACACTTCTCATAGGAAACACATATAAATTATCCAAGTATCTACGAGCTTTAATTATGAAACCGGTTGCATGCATCAAATGCTTAGACTCTTAATATATGTGAGTCTACAAATTTTGTTCAAAAATAAATTTAGAAACATGATTTTGTTGAAGAATATAAATTTTGACAAAGGTTAAGGTAGCATATTTTTTTCAATATCATACATATGCAATCTATTTTTTATTTCATTACTTTTTAATTTAAAAGAATAAAAGAGAAAAATGAAACAAGAGACATATCGTAATAGAAATTTATTATGTTCATGTATAATTGAGAAAACAATAGTATCATGTTTAGACTTGAGATTGTATTAGTTGGATCAAGTTGATAGGATAAGAAACCGATGAATCCTTTAACAAACGTCTTGCCCATATAAAATGCATACTCTCTGTAGGGTTGAATCCATCAAAGAAAACATTGCTACTTCTATCTTTGCACGGTTCTACATTTTCAACGCACCTTTCAACTGTACCAGGATTTATTTTACTACAACAAGGGCTCAATACTTCTCTAAATCCTGCAAATATATATATATATATATATATATATTGAGAAATAAAAAAATATCAATTTTGATTTGTTAATGATCGATTTAAGCTTAAATATTACATAATACTTACCATATGATGCAGGCGATTTAAAAACATCTTCAAAAATCTTATATAGATCTACAAGAACAAACTGTGATTTTGGAAGCGTGGATTGCAAATCTTTTGTTAAATTAGATAGCATCTGGTTAAATAACATTGCCCTTTCATTGGGTACTTCGTTGCAATTGTCACGTAAATTTAAATTTGGTTGGCATCCTAATGGAAAAGCGTTATTCACCACAATTTTACGAGCACCGAGTTGATATAATCTCTGCATGTAAGTCAAATAAATCAATAACTAAACATTAAATTATCTTACTATTTAAACTGGGTGTTTTAATATTTTTCTTAACTTCATTACCTGCAAATGTTCAGATAAATCTTTTATAATAAGTTGATGATGATAGTAATCATGATAGAGATAACCCAGTCCATACCACGCGTGATCTAAGTCGAAAGAAATTGTGTTAATGAAAAATAAAGATCCTGACATGTACTTGGAAAAACTTTCCTCGCTTCCAAATTGACTTCGTAACTTTATAGTTGTTTGTTCAAATAATTCTACTTGCTCTTTCAAGGCCGGCATCGGTTCCTGGTGGATAAAAATTCTAATTAAAAAAATATTAATTGCATGTTTTTGTTTAATATTGTTCTATGATGCAATTACGCCCAAGAAAAATAATAAATTATCATTATCCAAGTAAACAAGTTAAGCAAAGATTTCTTAGTCTTACGAATGGTTTGTCATATAATCTACAGATGCCGGTGAAACCAGTAGCATAATTTAAACCAGTTTGAGGAACTCTCTTAGCATCTTTTGACAAACTTAGTACTGGTGGAGGAAATGGCAAACCAGTAAATTGAGCTGCACCATAAAATAAATGGTAGAACATTAATTAATTACTCTTTCACATAAAAATAAAATAGACTTCTGACTTTAACTTATATTAGAGTAAAATTGTGGAATAATTAACTTCTTACCAATGAAATCTGCTACTGTTCTACCATTGGTGTAACGACCGGTGGGTTTTCCATCAAAATCTATTCCATACGGAGAATAATTACTTTGAATTCGAGGTAAATTGAGATAATTATTATTTCCTGCATCAACAAAATTGTCTCCGAATACGTATAAAGCTGGAAGATCCAAAGTAATGTTGTCTAATGACAAATGCTTCAAAATTGACTCTTTACTAATTTCAAATGATGGCACCGGTACCACATCTGCAAATCCTAATGAAACTACTTTAAAAAAGAGAAACAAATTGAGAATGCACTTCATCACTTTCATGTTTGTTTTCCTCAAATTGAAAAGTGAAAAGCTGATGGTTGTACTTGATCTAACTTAATATTTATACAGGGTATTGGCTCTTTCGGTTTTTATCACTTAATTTTACAAGTTTATAATTAACTTTAGGTTACCAGCTTTTATTAAGCGTTAAATGTTTCAAAGTTCAGTTTTAACAAATAATCATTCAGTATTTTTACTTTTTTATGCAACTTACAAGATAATGTAACTTAAAAATTCATTACTCAGTAACAATTAATGATTTTTAATTAACTTTTTTATTTACTGAGTTTACCAATGCCATTCTTGCTCGGTAATTTTCAAGTATATTCAGTTATGATGGACAAGCATGTAGAGTAGAAGTATGTTCAGAAACCATAAGGCCAAACCAGGTATGATGGCCCGTGAAGTTTAATTGTACTTTCGTTTTACAAATATCAACCAACATCAAGTCATCAACCCTTGCACCACACCAACGCTCCTCCTAGCACACAAGCTTGTTACAACTTCTCTTTTCGCATGAAAATATAAAGACACGTGGCTCGCCTCATGCAATTACTTGAAGATCAGTCCATATATTTTTTTTATGGATTCAATATATGCATGCATACAACTTACATGTAAAATGAACAGTAATTTATATTATATAAAAAATACAATAAAAGTTCGCAATCTTAATAAAGATTTTACAAAATCAAAATAGACTAATCACTTGAACACTTCATTTTTATAATAAAAAATCATCAATGACTAAAAATTTAGCCGTTTAAAAATAAAAATAGTAGCATCAACACTAATATAATATTAAAACATGACAACACGTTGACAGAAAGTTTTACCACAACTCAAGAACGACATACTTGGGATGAGTACGGGAATCTATCAATATTAAATAACTAGTTCGATGGTCTCGAACAGCTTTTTCAGCCTTTACCCATCCAAAGTTGTAGCAAACCGCACGAATAATATTTGTTGATGAATTATCTGTAAATATTTTTGTTAATCCTCTTAAAAATATATGATAAAACTTTTTCTCAATACGAGGGTTAGCATTTTATATAAAAGGATATTTCATCATTATTTTTTTTAATATATAAATATAAATTAATTTAATTAGTTGAATATATTAGCATTTTAATAAAACTCAAAATTCGAATCTTACCCCACTTCCATTAATGGTCGAAAACTAATTTACTTTTGACATAATTACATAATACAAATTAAGATTGTCAAAATCAATTAGTTGACCATAAAACCTCTGCAAAATATTCAAAGCAAGTTGGCCACTTCTTAATTAGTTTGATTATGATACTTATGTGATGGTTTTCCTACTCTTCATATATAGATAAAACAACTATGACACTTGGCTCCAATGATTATATATTGATCTAAATAATCAGATACGGGGAATTTCATATTAAGAGAGCGAACTTCTAAAATTTTAAGAAAAAATAAACTTATAAAATTCTAGAAACAAAAATATATTATCAATTGAAAATACAAAGAAAATATATAAAATATATATTTTTTAAAAATTTTAGGGGGCGACAGCCCCCACCCGCCCTTTTTTTCTCATTCTTGGATCTAATTTTCATCTGATTATATATTATTATATCAATCTTAATTGTAGTTTTCTTATGAATGTATTTGTAAATTTTGAATTTGAGTTAGATTTATATAACTCTCGTCTTTAATTTAAACTAGAGGCTATGTAAAACGAGGATAGGTGCATCCAACATTCATGTAACTAGTGATTTTAAAGATCATACATATATAGTGGAATGTAGTGGTGAATTTATGTGGGGTTTAGGATTGGTATTTGCATCTAAATTTTCTTTAATTAGTATTTATTTTATTGATTATATTTATCTTGAAATTTTTTTCATTTTTTTTATAAAAAATTGTGTTTTTAATATATAATTTTTATTGGATTAGAATTGTAATTTTACCATAAAAGGCCTTTAAGGCTTTTTTCTTGTTCACTCATAAATAATTATCACTCAACATAGATTTTGTCCATCATCACAATGACAAATATGTTATTAATTAATAACAATTTTAGATATCTTATCCAAAGCATGTAAAAATACTTCATTATTCAATCATTAACACCTCTAAATTTAACAATTTCCAAGAAGCTGGCTCCTGAAAAAACAAAAAGAAAATCTTTTAATGCCGAAAACAAATTGGGTACGGACATAAACGATATGTGATATGCGATTATAAAATGTTGTCTTGTTAAATATCATAATTATTAAAAGGTACAAAATGATTTTTCAATTATAGAGTATTGTTTTTGTTGAATCTATTGACAACTAAAAGTAATAAAATCATCATCTGATTATAGGGCACTGCTTTACATGGTCATCTGACTATTAAAAGTTATAAAATGACCATTCATTATTTGTATGTAATAAACTCATCATTTTTCTATTAAAAAAAGTTAACGATCGTCTAAGTTGATTGTTAACACGTTGACTGAGATTTGGTAAAATTGATCACATAATCGTTTGAGATGTATTTTGTGGATCAACTTTCGGTTTACATTATGTCGTTGAGTCTGTACTTGAAACATTATGTTGTCAAGCTAGTGCTTGAATGCGACATCGGTTCTAATAAATATAATTAAAATATGATTTTATTATATCTAAGTCAACAAGTTAACGTCCAACTCAGACAACCATTATTTTTTTAACAGAAAATAATGAGTTTGGAACATATGAATGGTTGGATGACCATATTGTAATTTTTAATAGTAGGATGACTGAATAAACCAAAGTGCTATGATCGGGAGACCATTTTATAATTTCTAATAGTTAGGGGACTCAACAAAGTAGTATCCTATAACCGAATGATCAATTGTGTATTTTACCCTAAATTATATTGAAATAAATTTTTAATTATAAAATAGTCTTTAATTTTTTTAAAATTGAGGACATACCTTTATACAAGGCTACTATAGTTGGGGAGGAATTTCTCCAAATCCTTGGAAATATTATTCAGTCACAAGACAATTGAGAAACTTGGGTAAAGAAATTTTTCTTCTTTTGATAACTGCGGTGACATTTTGTAATAATAAAAAAAATCTACCATTTTATAATTTTCTAAAGTTTAAGGACTAAAAAAATATTTTTAATATAATTTCTACTCCATCCTATAAATTAAGCATTACCTACTGTGACGACTGTGATAGCAAAAAATCCAGTGCAACCGGACCCATCAAGATGGGAACATCGAAGCTCGTAAATCAGTCCCGTGGGAAAACAACAATCACAAAAAACTTATCTAGAAATCTCCTTTCATCATTCTCTCCAAAAAGAATATCATCACCGGTGGTTAAAACATCCACATATAAACATGATTTAATTGCATGCTTTAATATTATTTTAATGGAAACCCAATTCATTTGCAGCTGCTCATAAAGTGTTCTTTTAATAAATCCCGAAACTTTGAACTCAAAACTATTCAATGGAAGCATCTGGTTTCATCTCAACAACACTGCAAAAAAAAAGATGGCGGATTGCTTTCTGCTACCGTGTTTTAATAAGCCTTCCTTCATGGTGAATTGGTGATGCGTTTATGGAGATGTTGACATAAACCTAACCATCGAATATAAACTTGTCCGGCACTGTTTGTTTTTTATGAGCTTTGATGATAATGGGAGTTCTTCCATGTCAGTTTTATTGCCACAGAGACGATGAATCTCAACGTGGCTCGAACCATCTTCATTCGGAACCATCGTCGGCCTCTTCCCTCTCTTCTCAACTGAGTCTACTGTCAGTTCCTTCTCTTGCTTCGGCGTCTCAGCGACACGATGAAGAGATCACCCGAGCTATTCACCATAAGTGCATAGCCACCTTTAAGAATCATTCATATGTATTCACTCTCGCTCTCATGGGGAACGTCCTTTACGGTGGCTCTTCGAACGGTGAGATTCGAGCGTGGAGGCTGGATTGTTCCGAGCAAGGTGATCAAACTGATAACGTTGTGGCTACTTGCCACAGTGCGGTTAAGTCCCTAGTGGTTTTAGGGAATAAGCTTTTCAGTGCACACCATGATAACAAAATCCGCGTATGGAGAATTCATAACCAAGTACTACATCGCAAGTATAAATGCTTAGCTACTCTCCCGACGTTGAACGATCGATTCGTGAGATGTTTTTCGGAGAAGAATTACGTACAGGTCCGGCGTCATAAGAGAAGCACGTGGATACATCATGTCGATACTGTATCTGCTTTGGCGATATCAACAGACTGCTCTCTCCTTTATTCTGCCTCATGGGACCGGACGTTCAAAATTTGGCGGACGTCGGATTTCAAGTGTCTGGAGTCGGTGCAAAACGCTCACGACGATGCCATAAACGCCATAGTTTTGTCGAAAGATGGATTTGTTCATACGGGTTCGGCAGACAAGAGAATTAAGGTATGGAAGAAGCATGCAGGGGGAAAGAACAACAAACATTCGCTGGTCTTAGCACTTGAGAAACACAAATCAGCTGTCAATGCTTTAGCTCTCAGTGACGACGGAACCGTGCTTTATTCCGGTGCATGCGACAGATCGATTCTGGTTTGGGGAAGAGAAAGCGGCGGAAACGACGACGGCGAGTGGCGGATGGTGTTGTTGGGTGCACTTAGAGGTCACACCAAGTCGATATTGTGCTTGTCCGTTGTGAAGGATATGGTATTCAGTGGATCCGCTGATAAAACAGTGAGGATTTGGAAGAGAGGAACCGATAAAAGCTATTGCTGTTTAGCTGTTTTGGAAGGGCACACAAAGCCGGTTAAATGCTTGACGGCGGCAGTTGATGAATGTAATACTAATAATGAAGAAGGTGCTTCTGAAACTATTAATTTTATGGTTTGCAGTGGAAGTTTGGATTATGATATTAAGGTTTGGAGAGTATCAGCTCCTGTTTTTTGATATTTTCCCTTTCCTTTTCCCTTGTTTCTGTGATGTAGAAAGGATGGTTTCTCTAGCTTATACAAGATTCAACAGCTCTAGGAAAATTATAACTTTGAATTGTATATATAGGCATTGATATTAATTCATGTGAGTTCATGTATCTGCAATTTATCCCGGTGAAGAAAGCATGATCAATGTTATACCTCTCCCAAATTTTCTCCTCGAGAGTAATATTTCCGAACTTAGATCTTCCAAAGCTTTGCACTTTGGAATATCACAACCCTTCGACATAACTTCGGGCAAATATCATATGACTTGTGAGAGTTACAATCAATAATGATCCTACGGCTTACACTTAAAGGATCCCTACAAACCTCCTTTCTTCACTTATTCTTCTTTTACCTCCTCATGGAGATAGAAGACTTTGACACCGACCAACATTTGTTTAATCAGTTATGATTCTCTATTCAAAGAAACTAGAGGAGATATCGCGTGATCCATTTATGCTCATCAACAATCAAAAACATAACCAAAGTTCAATTAAAAATTTGAAAAACTTGGAATTAATTGAAAACGAAGCATTGATGTTGGAAATTGATGCACCAAGTGTTTCAACTGTCTTCAGGAAACCCTAAGAGCTTTGATTTTGGACTGATGGTGCTAGGAAGAACAGAATATGAATGTTGCTGAAATAAACTATGATTTTGAAAATGTCAACAGAATATGAATGTTGCTTTAATTTTTTGTTGGTATTGATCATATAATTCCTATTATTTTATCACTAAATCTTTCATTAATCAAAAGTGGGAGTGGGGGTCAGTTAGGTTAAAAGTCGTCTAGCAGGCATTCTTTATTGAACCAGCACACAAACTTTTTTATTTTGTATTGTTATGTAAAAGATAAATGAGACGTAACCTTGGGAAACAAGGCAAAGAATCTTGATAACATAAATTATGATTATCAACTCGTCATTCATCTTCTAGAAAAATCCAGCTAACGAGGGCTAAAACGAAAGGTAAACATATAGGTTCTTAGCTCCCTTTATTAAATGAGATAATTGTATGTGTTACTCTCTATTAAAAATTAATAACCAATTTAAATATTTCTGATTGTCATAAATTAAAATACCAAATAGTATAACAAGAGAAATAGAAAGAAGAGAATAGACAGAAACATAGGATGTAACAAAGTATAGGAGGTCCATGATAAACATACAAAATTACATATAAATATGAAAGATAAAAAAATCATATATCTTCGTTTAATGTTATAGATATCCACACTTGTGTATTTGGATATTTATAATCAAATTAAATATGAAAATATTAAAAAAAACACAATAAAAATTAATAATTAAAATGGAACAAACTAATAAATGAAGAGAGTGGTGTGGGTCGCCAAAAAGCCTACCACAACAATTGGTGAAGACACATATAGTTGGGCTAAGTTAAAGAAATGGTTTCTTGAGACACAGATCTACATGGTCTTATATGCTATACGCTTCCACTTGGCGCCCATTTTACATGCTTGGAATTATATATGCATTATGTATAAATTATAGATTTAACATTTATTAATATATTTTTATTTTATTAATTTTAGATTCTATATTTTTAAGATTATTAACTAAAATAATTCGAAGACAAATATAATTAAATTACATAAATTAAAACATTAGATTAAATTATACAATTTAGAAATGAATAAGAATCAATTTAAAGTTAAATATTTTTAGAGACTAAACTGAATAAAAAGGAATTTGAATGATTTAAAATGTTGTTTTGTTTTTTTTATTAAAATTAGATATATTTTTAGACAGAAAAGTTACATGATGTGTTTTGATTAAAAATTTTATTAACTGATATTATTGATTTGAGATGAAATGATAATGAAATTAAATATTTGAAGATAAAAAAACAAAAAATTTAAAATTAAATTGATAAATATAGGGTTAACTATCTATTTGGCCAGTCACCTATTATTTAGTTTATGTTTTGATCATTCAACTATTATTGTTTTTAAAATTATACTTAACGATACGTTTTGGTACTGATGTCGTCAGCCGCCGTTAAAAATAATGGTGGTGTTGATGTGTCAGCATAAGGTAATGTTAAGCATAATTTTGAAAAAATAATAATAATTGGGTATAATTGTAACAAGTGGTGACTAAAATGTAACATTAGGTATAATTTTTAAAAATAATAATAATTGAGTGACCAAAATAGAAATTAAGTAATAGGTGTGTGACCAAATAGGTAGTTTACCCTAAAACATATATAATTGGGTAAACTACTCAAATGACCATTTAACTATGGGATTGGTGTTGATATGACCATCATACTTTTAATTTTAGCAATATGATCACATAATTATTTAAGTTTTTTCAATGTATCCACATGTTGTTACAAAATAAACGGCGTAGCTGATGTGTCTGTTATTAACTAACGGCGAGTTAGAGATCCACATCAGCTACGCCATTTATTTTGTAACTGCAAGTGACTACATTGAAACCACTTAAATAATTATGAGGTCATATAGTCAAAATAGAAAGTATGGTGGCCATGTCGACACCAACCTCATAATTAAATTATCATTTCAGTAATTTAACCTATATAATTTATCATCTATAAGCCCAATAAGAAAGCAATATGTTTAGCAAACTGTGAACCCAAGTCAACTTTACACAGTGGGTTTGGATTTTTGGTAATGCAATTAAACCACTGGTATATTGCACTTTCAACCAACGTTTGCTCGGTCATCGTCCCTACTAATATTGTGGGATTCGGACTTTTCAAGAACGTTCACTCCTTTTCTTCATCCCTTCTAGAGTAAAAGAAATTACTTTGAAGGATATTCAGGGACTTTTGAAAAGTATTATTGCAGGCCAGGTAAGTAAGGTAACTTAGGTAAAAAGCACACATTCTGGTGAATTTGTTTGTGGCGGTGGAGCATAAGGTGAAACAATTTATTTTCATACCAAAATCCATGACTTTCTGTTTGCCCCATAAAATGGAGACATAATCATTACTTTGGTGGAGAAAATGGGTTTATGCCATCCTGTTTCTTCTTACCATGAACATAATTTTATAATTATTTTGCGAATAATTTACACGATAAATACAATATAACAAATTTTAGACAAGTTTATCAAGGTCAAACATAAATTATTACGAAACAGATTAAATGTGGATTCTTTCCCCACCTGCCTTTTCCATTTTATCATCAATATTCGAGATCTGTTTCTAATGAAAAGTTAAACAAATTCTTAAATTGCGCTAACTAGAAGGATATGTGGTTTGCTTTAAAATTATTTTTGGATGCTTGTTGAGCTTGTCTTCATCGGCCCTAAATACTTTGGACGTAATTTGTTTTTCTTCTTCTATAAATTTCATGGATTTTCACATGTTCTTACGGTTAGAGTATGTTCAAAGATCAATCATATGATGATTGTAATAATACTTTTATTTACCGATTTTATTGAATAAAGGCATTGCCGCTATTATTTTCATTTATATATATGTGTTTAACATAAACTGGAATATAATAAAGTCCGTATAATGACATAATTGTTATTATTAAAAGATCTCTAGTCAAGTATTATTATGGGCATGGACAATAATAATACGCTTAAGACTAACATGTTATTGATTGATGACAATGAGTTGTCATTGACATAGAGATGTCAGAATTGATACATGATTATATTGTTAGAGAACAATATATTGGATTAACCGACCATGAGCATATGTCTTGGATTATTATGTGAAAGCCATAACATTACTCATGGTGATGACTATATGTATGATCCTCAAACTTGAGATCAATACTATCCCAACATATATTGTTGTATGTTTTGATGCAGCTAAACAAGCTCCGTAACTGGTTGCTCTTTAAAGACTGTTATTGAATATATCTCAATATATGTAGTGGGTGTGTATGATTAAGATAGAATTTGTCCTTCCTACATAATAGGAAATATATCACAGGCCACTTGATTGAGTAAGACTAGAAATGCATGGCCATGCTCGAATAAGTTGATATGAGATATCATAAACTATCTGTTAATTAAAGTCTACTCTAGATATCAAGAAACAATATATGGGTTATACAAGTGTGACTATTCCAAGACTTGTGCATGTTCTAGATATAAAGGACATAAGGATGTAATACATAAAAGAGTAATCACCAAGATGATATGTCGAATCATATTTTCTTGTAACTTAGGTGACAATGATATATTGCTAGATGTCACTCATTGTATGTAATATTAGAATTGTTCTAATAATTACTGCTAACGTTATAAGAACCTACAAGGTCACACCCTAGGATTGAAACGAAAAAAAATGTACAATTTGTTGTACGTTACTAAAATATATGTTTTAATAATCCCGGATATTTAATTTCAATTAATTAATTAAATATAGATTTAATTAATTTGAAATAATAAAATCCTCAATATGATTAGGGTAACTTGGATATAAGAAGATTATTAAATTTCAATTAATTAAATATAGATTTAATTAATTTGAAATAATAAAATCCTAATATGATTAGGGTAACTTGGCTATAAAAGGGTGTGTTAGGTCTAGTAGCCGTTTTTTCAACAAACACACAAACCCTTCAGACATTTTCTCTCAAAACAGTTTTGGGGAAAACAAATATTGCTCTCAATCGGGTGAACTGAGTAGAGGCCGAAACGTGATTTTGGAGGCTTTCGATTCGAATCGATCTACACCACCTTATTCACTTTTGTTCTTGTTGTTTTCAAGGAACCCACTGTAAGTATCCGCATCTCTTCCTCCCAATTTCGGTTTTTCGTACTTGGATCGCTGGTGAGACCGTCGAGTTTTGTTTCCGTTGCGCCATGGGATGCGCCGACGGTCCCAACAGTCTTACAACCGCAGTCATGTTCTCTATCTTGTCTCCACTTAACCACTTCTAAGCTTTAATCAAGACCTGTTTGAATTTTCCTTAACTAATACATTTAGATTAGTTCTTAAGCTAAAATCTCTTTTGCT